CTATAACCAATAGTTATGGTTGACTCTGGATATGTACACTATGCTTAGCTGTGGGGTATTTTACAGCAGAGGCAACATGTTTGATCTTGAGCAGAAGCTTCACAATAACACACATCTGACATACATCAGTTTTAGTCTGGTCCCTAGTGACTATATCATACCACAGGTTTCAGTAATTTTAGGGCGCCCTCTTTCAATCTGATCAAATTTATTATTCTAAAAGGACTTCAATGATAACCTGCCACAGACAAAACCACAGAATCTACCATTCATCTGGCATAATTAAAAGCAAAGTCATCAATATTTCACCACTGATGATTCAATGAGGCCAGAGTACTGTGGTTTGACTAGACATGTGATTTATATTGACAAAAACATAAGTGTAAACTCACATCGATGTCATCATGTATTATTATCACTCTGTATTCAATACAGTATTAAATGTTTCTGGCAACCACTGATTGTATGATGTAATTGTATGATTATAAATAACCAAGTTCATGGTCATACACCAAATGGCCAATGACACACACTGAATAACAAATCACAAACCAGGGCTCGAAATACTGGGTGCATGTGCACCTTAGTGCACCCAAAATTGGAGCTGTGCACCCAAATATTTTTGTAGGTATTTTTGTACGTATTAAATGTATACAGTAATACAGGATATTCTTGGCATCTAAGTGTCAGAAAAATAATAAAATCTTTGTTGTAGCACTAGTTTAAGAATCTATTTCAGATCCAAGCTCAGAAGAGGAGCAGTAAGAGCTGTAATTAGGTTTTGTTTTATATGGTGCACCCAAAAAATTATTTGTGCACCTAATTTTTTTATTCCCAAAAATGAATTTCGAGCCCATGTTAGCACACTCAAACAAAAAGCTCTTAACTTATAAATCAATGCTTTGAAGTCAGCTTTTCCCCAGACATGTTTATTTGCATAACTTCACTCCAGAATATAGTTCATACATGTACAGCTTACTGCAGCCAGCTCGCTGACATGAAGACAAAACAGCTCCAGACAGGCTGTTTATGAAATGTCAACCGAGTTCAAATGTAATGCCTTATGAAATCTTAAACCACACACAGCATTAACAAAATATACTGTGTCATTAAGATTCTATCATTGTATCAAGGCAAAAATACATGTACTGGCACACCACTAGCATGTTTCCAGGCTATCCCTCAAAGTCAAAGGTCTGAAAGCTTGTGCCTTTGAACAATACAGATGTATAATGTACTTTTCTTTGAGTATGAGCATGAAAAACATTGCAGGGCTCAGTCAACTACTAGTATTAGAGCTAGGCCCCAGTGTGAAGCAAAGAAATTAAACATACGGCTGCTATAAATGATACTACAAAACAACTGAAGTGTGACAGATTGCTTTCATAATGATTGTGGACATTGGGGAAGGGAATAAAAGTTGATTGCTGGGAAAAGCTTAAACACACCGAGGCAATGATAACACACACAAAAGGGGCAATATCCCACACCTGAACACTTTCATCTCTGTTGTGACTCATTTGAGCCAGAGGCAATAAATACCTTACTCAAAGGTTGTGGGAATACTGAGACAACCTGTTAGCCTGTATGTATCATTGCATAGCAACCATGAATACAGGTGTAGCATTTACTTTTAATTGCTTTAATAGTGTTCCATACATAGTTCCTTTTCCTACAGGCAGTGCCTTCTATTATATTAGATTTTGTAGACAATGAGACGCTACATGTCACGGGTGTCAAGGAACCCAAAATTGGTGTTGACAAGCTAAGGAAAGGGTGGTGCAAATGTTAGGTGACATAGTGCCCATGCCTCTGCAGTGTTGGTTACTATCTACTTTCTAACCCTGTTTATTACATTAACAACATTTGCTATCTGGCCAAAGTTCACACAGTAATTTACATCTAACAATTTCTTATCATTCCACCAACTTTTGCTCTAATTGGAAGAACATATTCCATACCCACACTGCCTACCTTGATATCTTTTGATATTGAACAACTTAAGCCTTGTATGAAGATCAATTAACTCAATTATGACACAAACAAAAAGGTCATAAGGCTTCTTTGCCACTCAGACTAATTACAAACATGTACTGTGATCTATGACCCTGTTCATACCAGACTTATATTTAGCGGTTTCAACCGGTTTTTCAAAAACCGGTTTTTATTTAACCTGGTGTGAACGCAAATTAACCGGTTTTTTAGGGGTTTAAATCCGATTTTCAAAAACCACCTCGGGAGGTGGTTTTTGAGGGGTTTTGATGGGTTTTTCCACCGAAAAGCCTGGTCTGAACGCTAAGGGTTTATTGAACCGGTTTTTGCGTCATGATTCTGGGGTCACGGGGTCAGCATCCTGGCCGTGTGCGACCTGCAAGCTTTTTTGATCGCGCTGTTTAGACCATTTCCACTGTTTTTCCACGATTTCTCTTCATTTTTGCGATGGAATCAGCCAACGCAACCTGGTCGGTGGACGAGACGCTCCCGATACGTATTTTTGGAGAGCAGGAGTTGATCGCTGAATTCGAAAAACATAGGGGGGAGGGCGAGGACTCTACCGAAACAAAAATGTTGGAGGAGGCTGATTTCTTGAAGATAAAGGATCAGTGCCGCACTAAGGTAAAAAAAACAAACTGAAGACAGCATACAAGCAAGAAGGCCAAGGACAACAATCAGAAGAGCGGGAGGAACGGTTATTCAAACTGCAGTCATGGCCGATTAATTGGATATTCACCGGACAGGATTTTTACAAAGCCGGTTATCAAAAGTCTGGTATGAACGCTAAGGGTTTTAGCCGGGTTTTTGAAAAACCGGTTGAAACCGCTAAATATAAGTCTGGTATGAACAGGGTCTATATCTAAATTCTAGGCAGGCTGTGGTGGCCCGAGTTCACCACAGGAAGGACATACAGTAAGGAAAACAAAATCTTATCTTCTATGTTTTCTTTCTCCACCTAAAAGCATACAAGATAAGGTTGTGTCCTCCAAATAAAGCACACGAACTAAATGAGGTGCATATATTTGTTACACGAATACACATGCATTAAAAAAGCAGACAGGGCATGTATAACGGTTAATGAGGTAAAGATTTCAAAAAGTGCCCATGTAAGTACAGGCTGCCCTAGATTCACTTGTTGAGTTGTGCTCATTTGTATAAATGAGAATGCAATGAACACAGGGAGGCATTGAAGTTTATTGTGATGGGTATACTTCCCTTTCAGTATATTCATTTCAACAAAAGCAGGTGAACATAATAATACCTGCTGTTAGTCTATCAAAGCAAACTTGTGTGTACTGAACACAATTTTGTTTTTGTCTCAAGCCTTCTCAAGTTCTTACCATGTATCCAGCTTAGGGCCTGTTAAACCCAGGTGACCAACAAATGTGTATAAAGCATTATGTTGATTTTTTGGCAGTTTAAAGTTTCCTGTTTTGGGTGTGTCAATTCCAAATTCAATTTTTCCTCAATATTCTTGTATACTCACTCTGGGTGTTTCTGGGAAAAGCAGCGGCATCCCAAGATCTACCTTTCAAGACCCTTTTTTGAAGAACACTCAAATCAAAGGTGCACTCTTCCGCAATCGTGTTTGCAAGTGTAACTTTACCAAATCAATGTAAGGTAAACTAAAGTGTACTTTGGATTAGGTCAAGTCCACCCTTGCCCTATATTGTCATAAAAGTATATTGAAGATGAAATCAATTCTGTATGGTTGATGGATATAGAAGTGATGAACTTTTGATTACCTCCACGAGAACTGTTGTGATACACCTGGATACACTGCTTTTGTTTTCACAGTTTTGATCTTACCAGCAAGTTACTAGGTATATTGTCATTATTGTGCCATGGCTGCATGTACCATATGACTATCTGACACCTGTTCATGGCATTTGTGAATCTGCAAAAATGAATCGCATATGAAACTGCACAATCATGTACATGTAATGTTAACATGTATGATTGGTTTACATGCCCATGTAAGCTTGATCAATCAATAGGCTTGATGTAGTCTTGAGGTGATGTCAGACACGCTTGAGAGGATCCTCAATCCTATTACTATCATTTAATCAAGTGTAACCAAAGAACCCAGATCATGGAATTTAGGCACTAGTCTTGATATTCACGGAACACTGCAACAATTTCATTACCAGTACTGCTGGTATGCAGACAGTTTGTCACGGTACCTGGCCAAATACTCAGCCGTATTTCTTTGGTCCGGACCCGCATATATAATGATCTCCCAGGTCTGGTCGGAACATCACATACGTGGTGGTGTTACACATACATAAACAACGATGTCTGCTGCTATTGTTGGCTTTAACAATAAACATCCTGAAGGTCTTTTGGACGGCTGGAGATTGGGTATCCAGGAAGCTATCTGTTCAAAGCTGTCGCTTTGACCCAAAAATGTAGCCGACTGTTTAAAATGACCTCATGACTCTCATTGTTGTTGCTGTTCATACATGTGGTTCTAATTTCCTACGGAATATTGTGAATTGATTCTAGTGTGGACTATCTCTGGTTAGTTTTGAAAGGTAAGTCGTTACACGGGTCTGACCTGGTGTAGATGACAAATGATTTCTCGGTGTGCAAACTTTAAGTTATCTGCGATGACCCATGAAAAACGGACTCAACTCGCTCAGCTGAGTGAGTCATCAACAATGAACTGTGCACGATTCAAAACCCTGACACTCGCCTGCTTCCGGTTTTAAAGTTTTCACGATCATATCCCAGGGAGGTTTGGTTGTTGGATGTCAAATATAGACGTAGTACATCATTTTACAGATCATTCAGGACATGTAAACATAAGATTAGACTTTTTCTGCTTAGTCTACTTCAAAACTCACCTCAACTCTCCAGTGTACCGTCAAACAAAACAAGCGCAACCTCAGTCAACACTGGCGATTTTCCTCATTAAATCCAGCCCATCGCTGTCCAAGTCCATGTTGAAGATTGTCTGTACAATAAGCAACGAATGACCACAACGACGAGGACAAAAAGTGGAGTTTCTCAGAACTAAAACGTGTCTTCACTGCGCCCGAACAATGGCCGCCCCACAGTGTTCAATTCAACCGCCAGCCAGACGGTGTTTGCTGTGTCCACTCACTCCCCGCACCCTTCTGCAACACAAACCCGACTCCCCCGCAACTTCTCGACTGGAAAAACCTCCTCTGGTCACCACACAAAGGTAATCCGGGAGAACGAAAGAAGGTGAGGTACTAGAGAGCTCTCGAGAAGTGGACAAATGAACACAGAAGTCACCCGATCCTCGGTTTTGTCGTCTGACAAACCTGCCCAAAGCTGTGTCACGTGACCAACGGAACCCCCCTCAGGCAAGAGGCAGATTCTCTGCAGCGAGCTGCTGCAGCGCCATCTAAACCTCAACAGTGGTACTACAACATTAGCGCTCTCCGTCAGACTCATTTCACAGCAGAATACCGTAGTAATTACATAATACATGTACATACTGACAGAAACAGAGGGGCGACAAGCCAGAGAAGTCAGCTGAGGCCAGATATAGGGACTGGTTGGCTGTTTTTGGCTCCATTTGTAAATTACCCAAAATTGGCTGGTTTCTACATTTCATTTTTGCGGTACAGGTCTCAGGTAGAGGGCACCCTGTGACCATGAGGTGGAATCACAGCAACAAGTTTACGTAGGGTGTCAGATGCCACAGAGCTACAAGGGCACGGAGCTACTATGGCCCAGTTTTAATGTTAACAATACATCTCGTAACAAGATTAACAAAGATGCTGTGCAGTCACTCATTCAAAACTTGTTCATTCTTTTGCTGTGATGACATCTATATCCAACAGGTGGCGCTGTTGATATAAAAACACAATCTGCACATACAGTAGTATGCAATAACATGTATTTCTCTTCTTCAGCCTACTTTTTGTATCTTCCAATTAAATAACAATCATTTATGCAGATTCAGAAACATTGTCATTCTGGGCCCAATAAATTTTGATCCATTCCAAATGTCACAATCTAGGCTTCAGTTCATACTGAACTTCAGTTCAGTTCAGTTCATGCTAGTTCATACCATTATTTTGTCAGTACAGCAGGTAGATGGAAATAGACAACACCACAACCATAACATGGGTGATTCATGTGAAGTACTTTATATACAGTCCTTCCTGATGTACAGAAAATAGACTCTTGCGTTCAAGGTGCAAATTAAATTATAGTACAGAATGAAGTCATCAGTGGCCCCACACTCCAGAAAGGGTGCTATATACAAGTGGTTCTCAGGGATGCTAAAAAATTTCCCTTCAAAGCCCTTCAGAAAGTAACAGTCAATCATGCTAACACTTCATAACCTCTCATATTTACCAAAAAGAATCATATCACTTACTCTTGAGTTCAAGTTACTTTTATTAGAAAACATGAGTTGAAAAGTTTATCAACCACTTTCTCCTGAAAGTATACTTGCTACAAAATGTACTTGAGCTCTACAAACAAAACAAAAACAAATCACTATTAATAAACTTTATTAATAAAAAGAGTAAGGATAAACCAAGAACCTCATAGGATAAAGAAAAGTAAGAATGCAGTGTTAGAATGATAGCTCAAAACAACTGTAACGTTATCTACATGACAGTTATACTACTTTTTAGTTCAAATAATAAATGAATAAGCTATTATCTAAATACAAAATAAATGTTATCAAAGAAAATCTGCAATTTTTTAAATGGAAAAGACAATGTCAGAAGCCAGAAATGATCAAATGAATCATTCATAAAGTTAATCTCAAAACAGTGCCCACACCCAAAGGCAATTCTATGACATCTATAGTTATAAAGTGGGTTGTCTAAATTAGTGACATCACAAAAGATATTTATCTTAGTACACCATTGTATGAACTTATGACATAATGGGACTTTGACTGGGAAACATATTCATGATAGGACCTTTTCATAACAACACATCTCCAGCTTTTCATATAAATACATGTATGGTACATGGTAACTGTGATATATAACCTCTGTGTCAAAATGTTGGTGACATTGTCAGTAGACATTTGGAAGTGGGGTCAACCATTAGGAATAGGAATCATACCATTTTTAACAATCACAACAATGTCAGGGTTCAGTTTATAATAATCTCTCATGAACAAGACCCAACACGACAAGAAATAGGAAGGAAGCAGATTTGGGTAACTTCGTCTTCTCAAAATATCATGAACATAGATTTCAGTAAAAAGTAGCAAGTCTGCATGTTTGTTCTTAAGTTTGTCTAATATTCTGTCAAACCCAAGTAAAGATGATTTCACCTTTAGATGACAGGGCCTCCTCACATGTACAGGTACAATTTACTTATTTGCCAAGCCTGTGCTGCTAGAGTCAGAGAAAAAAAAACACCACTGACCCAAGTCAACACTCCAGATACTAAAAATGCTGTTGAACAGAGCTTGATCCCAGTGTGCCTGAAGACTAATTAAGTCAATCACAGTCTATAAAAGAAATTCCAAAGATGACCTGTCCAATGGGAGTCAGCTGAGGTAAGATCATTGATATGCTTGTAGGCATCACAGGCCTGACAGTCTTTGCTAAGTTGTACAAATATATACACAGCTCTGTCAAGCTTGATCCAAAGTCACATCTTCCCCCTAAACACATCCTCTTCCACCAGTGTTCACGACGATGCTGAGTTGACAACTGTGTGTTGCCATGGCAACTGTTGTCATGGCATTGGGTGTGGGAGGGGTGCTGCCACTGTCTGGCCGTTCTGAGGTGGGTGGATGATGCCTTTCCTCTCATCCTCACAGAGCTTACAAATCCAGCTGCCTGTAGATGTCAGAATCAGCACATGATACATGTATCTTGACCCAGACTGAATAATAGAATGCACCAAAGCAACAAGTGTTGCTAGTGATGTTAAGTTTCCTGTATGATACTAAATGTAGGAAGGCACAGAAAGCCCTAACAGAATGTGAGATGTCATAATTAACAATATACAGGGGGTACGTCTGACATTGTACAGAGATTTGTATGTGAGGGTCTTACCTTCAGGAGGTGCACTGAGTGGAGGAGACAGACAGTACATGTGGTAGCCACGGTCACAATCATCACAGAACAACAGCTGATCCTGTCACAGGAAAACAGCAAGTCAACACCTTCACAACCTACAGACTACATAGTACATAGTGCAAGAGATAATCTGAATTCTACATCAAAAACATACCCTTGACATGTTATGCATGATATTATTTGATCTGTGTTGAATGCAAAATTACTTTCAGAATTATTGAAAAAGTAGAGACATATCATTTTCTAAATTAAAAAAAACACATTTGCCATGAGGATAATATTGATAGGACATGAAAACCCACATCGTTCTCGGAGGTTCCACACAGATGACAGGACTTGCACTCGATACACTGCCAGCGGTACTTTTTCACTGACTCGGTCATGTGAGGTGTAAACTGAAGGCACGTTGGGTGACCTGTTCAACAAAACACACACATTTTTTTACAAACTGTATTCAATTCTTTAACTTCAATTTTTTTAAATCTTCATTGGTATCATTATTATATACTATCATAATATATTTGCAATAAGCAGCCTCAACCCAATATCCTCTATCAAGGAAGGAATATCCAATAATATAGTCTTCAAACAATTAGGAGCCCCTGGAATATTTAGAACCGAATCTCTAGCATGCTACATCACATGACAGTTAAGTATACCCTCATTAAACTGAGTCATGGAATGAAGTGAGAGTTTAAAATATAACTGGAAATGCGACAAACTTTGTATTTCCTCAAGTTCATGTTCACAAAATTTGCTTATGTAGTTTATTTAACTAGGAGAAAACTGACCTGAGCGACCGCAGTCAGAACAAGATATGAGCTCCTCTGGCATTCCGCTCTTTTTGTTCTCCTTCTCATCTCCCAGACAGAAGTCACAGTAGTTACTGGGTCCTGAACCCTTGGCTGGAACAAACAACAACAACAACAACACCATATTACTGTTGTTCAAACATAGTAGCAACTCAGGTCACTACCTTGTCCTAATGTGCTCTATTCAGAAACCATTGCCACCATCATCACAGCAATAAACTGGGAGTACATGTATGGCTCTGGATTCTGGGTTAACCTTTCAAAACTTGACTTGGAGCCATGCATTCCTGTACACCGAGTGTGGACATCATAAAACCATATGCATTCATCACCCATCATGTGCAACTACAATTACCAATGTTAAAGATAAGCTAGATTTTCTTTTCTTTCCTTTAATGGATTAGTTCTCAGGGGTGCCTTGCCTCCTTCTAGGTTATATTTGACATTTCATTTCCCAATGGCATCACAAAACCAATAGAAGAAAATACATCTATAAAATGACATTCTTTATTGAGACATTGGGAATCTGAAAGACAAATTTCTATGTCAAGCATCAAAGGGGAACAAGACAAGGCATCATGCATATACAAAATGTCTCCAAGATACCTCTCTTTTCTCCATAGGGTATATCCTCAGATCCACTTTCTTTTGGGTTTCGGCATGGAAAAGTAGAACGGGTGAGTGTACCATCACATCACAACAAAGGAACACAGCAATACAGCAAAACAATGGAATGTCAACAGTTGGAGGACAGCAGAGGGAGACAGCCCAGAAACTCCAGGTAAAGGACAGAGACATAAAGTTAGGCCAAACCCAATCAATGCAGGGCTAGAAATACTACATTCCTGTTTTCTGCAAACATGATTCTAATACTCAGCTTGCATTTTTTTAGCTTGCCAATTTTTATTTGTTCATATTTTCAATTTTTCCTGCAAATTACAAGTTGCTGGTGTAGATTTTGAGCCTAACAATTCTTTAAACAGTCTACCAGTTTTCACTGCTATCTTACCATGAGCAATACTTTTAGTTTGCTACAATCATGACTTCAATATTATGGTGAAAATTATTATCAAAGACAATTTAATAAAGATTGCACACCATCATGACTTCGTGCCTGGCATTACAACTGGAATGATCAACAGTGCATCTGAGAGTTGGACTTACCGTCCCCGTCTCCATTAGCCTGTCTGGGTGGGGGGGAGTCCTCTTCCTTCCCACTGTCAGGGATCTCCCCGTTGTGGAAGTGTGTGTAGTGGTAGTTCAGCCCTGGACGGTTCTTATACCTCTTCCCACACCCTGACAACAAAACACACAAACTACAACCATGAAGCATGTCATATCAGTCATTAATGAATAAGTGAATACTAATACATGTACATGTAACGCCTGTATCAAAAGTCAGTCAACATTGTGGGCTCCTATAGCACCTGCTTTTAGTGAACATTTATTTGCTTTATGACCTCCTCATAAAAGGCGATAAATGAATTCTACTGACTTATCCAGCATATGAAATGTAATTACACTATAATGCTGGTTAGACAGATTTTGTAACACTTCAGGAAGTTTCATAATAATCTAATCATCATAAATTGTACAATATGAAGTGCATGTACATGTACAATAGTGAACTTTTATTATGACATTTGTGGCAATATATTGCATAAGTACAAGTGTCTCCACCTCAAAATTACAGTAATAACAGTCCTCCATCTTGTCAATTTTCCCCAATATACACAGCCATCAAATCCCCTTCATCACTCCAAACATCTCTTCCCAACATAAATCACGGCAGGATCCCCTGTGGCTGTGGCTGGCAGATCTCCAGTTCCCATCTACATGTATCGATTACCCAGAGTGCACAGAGCAGTTTAGAATCAGTCACCAGAAATGGGTCCACATCCATCACTGATGGCTCAATCCTATCTGGGACAAAAAACCTGATGGCTACATCTTATCTAGGAGAAAAAGGTGACTGGAACTGACCCCTGATAGTTCTCAGATGTAATGCATTAGTAAGTGGGACCTAGATGATCCCTGTCTGTATGGATTGGACTGTCAGTGACCTTATTACAATCATTGGTACAGTGATGAGGTCTGACTCACATTCACAGGCATACGGCTTGTCTCTGTCATCAGGCGGGGGTGGAGGCTCCTCTTTTTCTTTCTTCTTCTTTCTACCACCCTGCAAAAATAAGAGAAAGGATCTTGAGAGAAAATTTGTCAACTCTTTTCTTTCAGACTTGTGTTGTATACCCACCAAGAACTGTGTACATGAATGAATCAGATGGAATTCTATCTTTATATGGTTTAAGACTTAATAAGAGCTGAATCATCTCATCACTTCTTCTTCCAAACAAGGCTCACTTGGAAAAAGTGCATTAATAATTTTCTAAATATCCTATTCATCAACCCAACCTAAATGCTGGAGAAAACAAACCCTCCATACAAATTGGCCTAGGCAAAGGTACCAGTAATAATCTCCTTGCCAAGATGACCTGGCAGAGGCAATAATCCTCTTATCCCACAGCTTGGCAGGCAAAAGTACCGGAAGTAGAAAAACTGCAGTCATGAACAAACCGTGACAGATGTACAGGCAAGCTTGATTGCCTTTCTCAAACCATTAAATTTTGATAAGGGCCGTTACCGTTAATCGTATGGCTTCAACTGGGAATTTGTATCTATTTGACTGTAGGCATGACGTATGGTGGCCTGCTGTTCTGTACAGCTTCATTCTGTATCTACACCATTACTTGGTACATTAATAACACAGCAACTGAGCCATCCTTTGTGAAGCAAGAAGCACAGAAATATTACCACTCTTCTATACCGCCTACTTCCATCATTCCTTCATTGTAACATGTTGACATAGATTATTGGCTGTGGAGTACCATTTGGAAAGGCAACGTGGAAGAGATAAGGCTGCCTTGTGGCCATTAGACACGCATGGCTCCAAACCTTCACAGAAAGCTCCAACTCAGCAACCTGCATCAGCAGCCAATGACTGTGCCAGACAAGGTAGATTGGATAATACAGCACTGCAATTTATTTGCCCACATAAGGCCATGTTGATTTGATTATATGGATGACATCCTCTGGGAACCCCAAAAGCTGATGCGAGCTTGCAAATAAAAAAAATTTGTAAAAAAAAAAAGTTGCTTTCATTATGTGGTTAATAAGGTGGAACAAATGACAGAGTACGATTTGATTTTTGGCATTCCATGACATTGGTATTGTTTTCCAATATCTTTTTTTGCAACTTACGGTATATATTTGCTCATTTTGCAACTGTTTTGTACAATTTGTCGTATGGTTCAAAACTTTTTTTTGGAAAACAGCCGAAAATTCATGCGCACGCAGATGTCATCCATATAATCAAATCAAAATGGCCTAAATTCAAGACAGTCAGCACACAGTTCAGCAAATTTTTCTGGCATCCACAAGTAGATTCTGTATAATTTCCTTTTAACAAGAATTTGTTCCTCTTCAAACAGCATTCTGCCGAACAGGGAAAATACATGGCATTTATATCAATATCTTACAAACGTTCCACACCTTTGTCCTCCCTACTTTTCTACTCCCTGAGAACGGCCACAGCCATGCACTCAGCCTGGGCTGGGATGTGAGAAACTCTAGGCTCCCACAGAGCCCCTACAAATAAAGTCAAACCATCATATCTTCCTTTAATGGCACCATTGATGTGGACTTGACCATGCTACAAGTCCCATGCACATTAGTGGCTGTTCATCATCATCATCATCCTTCACCTCAAGTCAGTGTTTGGCACAGGGGCAGGCCATTTTTTAAAATACCTGTCAGACTTCCTGTAAATACACAGATTTAGCAACTCAGTTTGCGAAAAAAAAAATGGAAATGTCCAGTCACATATTAGAATGTGACCATATTAAAGGCACTAGGTTATTTCAAATCATTTCAACAGGGATACTACTGGGTACTTTTTAAAAACTATACAAAGTATAAAAATGATGCACATAGAAATCCTCTCTGGTTTGACTCTACTTAAATCATACATGATTACAACTTTCAAGCCAGTGAATCTCCTCACAGTGCCCAAATATGCCCACTCTCTCATTCTCAGCACCGTACAAAGCAACTAAAAGAACTTTTCTTCCCATTGAACTAACATCATAGTCAAGCTGAATAGGAAATCTCAGAGGTAATCTCTTCTGTGAGCGTGAGACGTATGCATCAACAATGGTTCATCCTCTCCTGCTTTCAGACTGCGCACATGCTGACAAGGCACTCCGCTGAACACAAACCACTCTTCAAATGGGGCTTTCCCCATCGGAGAGGTTTATGGAAATGGCAACAGGATCAAATGCTGCTGCTGACACTGCAAACGTTCCAGACAGTAACAACCGGTACTGGCAATGTCAGCAGTGCATCTATCAACCTTCTTGGACGTGGCAATATGAATGCAAAACCTATACAGGTCACGACCTGCTGTATGTCATGGGTAACACTGGCAAAGGAAGCTCATCAAAATGTCATTTTGATTACAAATCCTGCCCAAATCAGCCTGTTATCATCTGTAGCAGGCAGGTCGAACAGTAATCCAGCTTTTAGCCCGCGTTCTCCTGCCATAGTCACCTTCCATACAGCTCCAAATTGGAAAACATGCACAGAATATGAAATTAGCAGGCAGCCTTCCCCCGGCACTTCCGATAAGCCGATGACATACACGCACACCTAGTATAAAACATTCCAGGCTGTAAAGATATTGCAGGGGCAGATATATTGTCCTGTTTTATAACCTTTTAGGTTTTTCTATAAACATGGTAGTTACAGGCCCATAAAGGTGAGGACATCACTCAATAACGGCAAGAGGCACGATGAGGCTGAGCTCGGACATAAAACAGTTCATCCGCGGGAATCACAGTAATCAATGAGACACTGTGATGAATAATTCACCGGCAGACTGACTCGTCCTCCATCCAGGCCAGCAGTACCCGCCAGGCCGTACATTTTTAAAGCACCATTGCTGGACAGGCACCCAATTAATGTGATGTCTCCTGCTGTTGTGGGGAGACACTTGTCTTGTTCTTCAACAGCTATCACTCCTGACCAATTATCAAAGACCCATTGATGCACAGGGACTCAATTAATCTGATGTCTGAAGCTGTTGTAGGCTGATATTTGTCTTGTGCTTCAGCAGCTATCAATCCTGACCCATTTCTAAACACTCTGATCATCAGTCAGACTTAGCACAGGAGGACTAGATGTTTATTTCCCTCCATGTCTCCGGTATTATACATACTGCTTCCATTCAGTATCACATGACAACAGCTCCAGTTGTAAGTGATGGCGGGATCAATCTAAGCTGACATGCATGTGATCATATCCTCATTTAGAAAATAAGCAGATACTACAACAAATCATGTAGGTTTGCTCAGTAGAGTCTTATTACTGCACCTTCAGGTTAATCATATCATAAAGCCATTTAGTTTGGTGGATATGTTGTAATCTAGTTGTGAGCCGCAGTGGGGAAATAAGATCGAGAAAGGTAATTTTACTGATATGGTTATATAGCTGCTGTTGAAGAATGAGGCTTCGGAGCCTTCAGAATCGCTATTGACAACATGTAAATACAACAGGACATATAACATCTACCCTTCTAGCCAAGGGACACTTACTTCAATTCTTCCTTCATCTGATTCATTACCTAACTGCCAACAGTACCGCACCAAATGGTCCACCTTAATTCAGCAGGACTAGGCATGGCAAAGCATTAAGCACAGGTACAATCAGAAGGAATACTTCAGCTTCATGAGTGTTGACAGATTGGCCTAGATGGAAAGTGGATGTTATTACTCTTAGATGGCCCAGATGGATGGGGAGTCGCAGGGGCAGTCATCTATAACAAACGGTGGCCATGCTATTACAGCAATATTTGTTACAGAGGCTTAGTGAGAAAGCCCTGCACGTATGGCTTTACGATATGACACCAGATGGATGGCAGGTTGGGCAGGCTTTATTGTACCGGGCCCTGCTGAGATCAGGGCTGCTGTGATTGTCATCAAGATAAATGGGGCTCCTCCACTGGATCGACCTTGTTACAAGGAACGCTGGTGTAGTCCTAATGGGAGGCTGTGATACAGCTGTACGTGAAGCACGCCAACTTGATTTACTACAGCCAACATTTGAGCAACTTAAGCACCAGTAAATACCGAGCTTTAGAAAACGCAGTGATCTGAAAGTCAGAATACGTAAGGAAATCGACTCTTATAGTCAAAATGACAAGCAAGAATTACGGGCACACATTTCTCTTATGTCGTTATGCCAAACAATCAGGTTATCATCCAAATGGGATGGAAAGGGACCTGGGAGGCTCACCCTGTTATCAGAATACTGAATCACACACTTAAAAGCAATCCTTAGGGTAAGTAGAGCCGTGCATATAAATCATTTATGAGAAAGCATCAGCCATCAGGAACAAAGGGCATCATCCAATTCACTATGGAATATTGAGCACACTGGTGTTTGTTTTGGAACATTGCATGGAACAGTCTCTGTCAGTCACATGAAGTATGGACCATGTCAAATTAGTATCATCTTCTCAATAGCCAAGCAATCATCATCCTATGGCACAGGGTACTTTACACAGTGACATAGAGGGCTGTCTATTGATTGCCATGCTTCACACGTTCCTGCTGTTTGCAGCTGAATACGGAGTTGCAAGATAAACGCTTGTTGTACATCAATCAAGTTTTATTACATTAGAATTTATAGCTGTTAAGGCCTTGTAGATCCTTCTAAAATACAATACCTACTATATAATATTACGGACTTCCAACACTAATGAGATTTTGAACATTACCATGGGAAAGATGTGAAAACACATGAGCATACTAGTATCCAAATACACTGATCACACTTGTATCCCTCTATCCCTACTGAGATGTCGTGGTGAAATGGCTGTGCAAAGAGGACCATAAACCACAGTTTACTGAAATATTACCAGAGATTGTGACATTATTTCAGCATCGTTTGGTATAAGCCTGACTGCCTGAGCAGGTCTGACTTTAAAAACAATATTTCCTCTGGTGATAAAGATTTATCATCAACAACAGTAGGCGTAGAATATAAAGTTGACTGGTTACAAAAGAAATCTGAACCTATCTTAGACTGGTTATATAATAAATAGACTATTATATAATTCAAATATAAAAGCTCTATAAAAAAATCACAGTTGTCAAAACAAATTTCAAAAACCAAACTTGTTGTGCCACCTTACCCTTTTCTTTTCCTCCTGGTGTAGGTTTCATCATCGCTACTGGAGCTGTCCTCCAGTTCTCCAGCATCTGGAATGTCGTCGATTTCATCTACCGCATCCTTGGAATCTTCCGAGTCCTTCAATACAGAATCTATCAGGTTGTTCGCAGCTTCACTGTCGAGTCCCAGGGCGTTTTCCAAGGTCGCATCCTTGGCTGCTTCTGGATGGCAGGGAAAACATTCCATTTATGAAATGTGACAGGTTAACACCCAGGAGTCAAGGATCAACTTACAGCTATGAGGAACAAATCATCCTGAGGCAAAACACTCTCCGCTAAAATCAATAACTAAGAATTCAAGGCCAGCATAAATCTTGATCCATTCAATAGCTGGTAAAACATAATTTTTTGATATTGAAATACTGTGGCATTGATGATTGATATGTTTGAATCACAAGCTATTTAGGAAGTCACCACGGTAATTTCATCTGATAGAGCATGGTTAATATTGAAGCATAACATATGATTCATTTCATAGCATGTCACAATCCAAGCCAAACTGAGTCTAGTAGAAAGAAGGCAACTGATTTATTGTTTGAGGAAATATCATGTTAAAGGAACAGTCAAATACAATGTGAGATTCTGACTCATCCAGGAGATGACTCATGCACACAAGATTACCCACAAAACATACTCTCAAACATCAATCAATGACTTGTAAAATGCCTTTAGTAATAAGTAGTAGTTTACACAGAAATTGCTTTTAGCAGAATCAGGCTAACTTCAAGGGATATACTCTACAGAGTACTAACCATAACATCAGTTACGTTAGTAGAACATTTCTACCATTAGTATACAATAAAGGGGTTGAAATGGGGACAGTGATGATAAGAAGCCACAAGGGATCTTTTTGTTAGTACAATGTATTTCAACTTAGAAAAAAATAGAATGCCAATAGCAGAATTCCTTGTGGCCTCTTATATCATGAGGATAGCTTCTACCCACCACCAGCACCTTACCTCCCTCCTGTATCTCTACATCCTGTACCTCACCCTGAGTCAGTGGGGGGTTCACTTGGGCAAAGTACGCTCTACGTTTTTTGCGCCATCTCTTGGCGGGAAATGTGTAGATCTGCCCGGGAGCGATGCCCGGCCTGCGCTGGCTCTGACTCATCCACAGCGAGCAGTTGGTCTGGGCGACTCCTGTCAGGGTGTCCAGGAAGGGGAGCCGCATCTTCCGCTCCATAACCACTCGAGCATTGAAGTGGGAAGCATTTTCCAGTGCCTCCTTGTAGAACTGGTTTCCCACCACAGCACTAGTATGAAAACAAACAGGATTTCCCATTTACTATGCTCTCCATCCGTCATATGAGCAACACAGTGAGGTATCACATGTAAGTAAACTAATTGTTACATCAATTTTAATAGACTAAAAGCGGTGACTGAGATGGACATGAGCAATACAATTTTATAATATAAAGCATAAAAAACATAGCAGATATTAGGCTGAGGATGGAATAACTTCAGGCATATTTGCACAGTTTTAGTTTACATTTATCTGCATTGTACTTACCTGCAATTTTACAACATCCCTCTACAAAGAACAATACTGATCACCTGTTCAGCAGGCTGTTGTAGAAATCTCCTCATATCAAGCCTCCCTCCACACCCCGTGCTTCTACTCTAAGGTATGGCTACTGTTACAAAAACAAATGATTGCCCATACAAACTGCATTTGCACACCTCCTGGCAGTTGGACAAACCACAGCAAGCAGCTCACTCAAAAATAAAACACAGAATAACCTACATGTATACTAAGCATTAGTGATGTGTATGAAATGAAAGCACTAGTGAGGAGAAAGTTAGAAATCCTATTCTAACCGTGGTTCACCAACATGCATCGTAGCATCAGAGGGTGCTTCAGTGGCTTTACTGATGCGTCCTCTTTCCCTGTGGGCATACAGAGGACATGGAACATGTGCACAGATGGTCCATATATCTTAAAGGACTGGTATGATTAAGTACTAGTACAGTATTATACAGTAATGGCTAATGGGTGATTTTGAAACTAAAATCAGCACATGTTCAACAGTTGGATGTTATCTACACTGCATTATCGCAAGTTGTGACCTGTTGTACATAAGATTAACATTGACAAAAATACTGGTACCTCTTGCAGAAAATTGCAAGTGATCTTTTATATGATGATTATTTTGATGACAAACAGGCACTGCCTTGGCAATAACATATTCCCATACCGGGCCCTCACCGAGGCAGAGAAATCCCTGCAGAGAACCTTGTTCTTAAGTTAAAGTGCACTCAGCTATTCTTACTTTGATGTGACAGGCAGCATGCCAGAAAACAAACTCTCTCCTTGCCTACTTTTATTAACCTTTGTCAAGCCACATGGGACTCCGAACTACTCCTGGTACAATTTAGCATGATTATAGTATAGGAAATTCTCCTATACCAGTAATAAGCACTGTATAAAATTTCTCAGAATCCCTTTGTTTTCCGTACACAAGAAATGCAAGACCTTTCTTATCAAAGGCATGGCTTATCAGAACTGCAGCCTTAGACTAGAGGTAACTGGTTATTCTTTCTCAAAACCGAAAACTATTTTTCTTACTGCACTAATATGCCTTAGCTTGATAATATTAGGAAGGTACACAAGCTGAATGTGACAGGGTCAACATTCTGGTGACTACATGATTTCTTATCATAATAACTGCATTAAAATCAATCACTCCTCACAAAGGTTACTGCTGCATATCAAATTGCCCCTGTCAGTTTCTCCACTCCTTCCATTCACTCATCAATTACCGCTAGTACATGTACTTATATCTGGTGCCTGAGGAGTCGTAGCATAGCACATGGAAGAAAGCCAGCTCGTGCACCCATACAATTTAAAGGGTCAATCCCTAACACTAACAGCTATTGAGTCAGGAAAGAATCATGAAGTGTTTACTCTTGTCATAAAACATGTCATTGTGCATCAGAGACTGTCTGAGATTTGATGGGAATGGAAGGAACAATGTTACAGATAATTTTTTGTTGAGCTTCAGATCATGAAAATCTTTATCATTTTCATATAAATTTGATTTTTATAGATTTCTTCATGCAAAATATATATGTATGGTTCTGTGTGATTAGTGTTATATGTGCATTGAAATTATACTACAATAAGTCACTTAGTGAATACTACAAAGGATGATCTTTGAAAAGTAATGCTTACCTACACTACCTAAGTACCTTTACAAATAATATATTATAATAACTAGTCACTATCATATTTTTTCTGATTCAATTTTAGATCAACACATACCATTACTTATAACTACATGTCTACATCTTTAATCCTTACAATAACTCTTGAGCCATGTCATCCTGGTTATCAATCTGTGTACATATATGTATTATAATTTTGTACTCAGTCTGTGGATAACCTGGAACCTAAACAGACCAGCCTCCTAAAGTAACGAAAATAGTGCCATGCCATGCATAAATTCATTTCATCCATCTTAGCTTGTTCTGACTTATGAGCCATTTTCTCCTGTTTCTAGAGCATCAGACGCTGCCATAATAACAATGCCGCCGTCACGTGCCTTGTTGCGCGAATGTACAGTCAAAACATCGGTTAGTCGTCAGGCCAACCCACTACATGCAGCATGCATAGCACAGCAACAAACAGCCACTATGCACTATGCAGACAAAGGAAACCGCTCCCTCTGCGGCAGACGGCTTTCCGATTAGGCTCCATTTTCTCTACTTCCATACGACGACTGCCTCTAAAACTTTGTCCATTTGTTCTTTGAAAGGTTTCCAGCTGAATGAGATTTTGGATAGGGTCTAAGCACGCTAGAATTCCCTGGGATATCAACTCACCTAGGTTGTTTCACAGCGATCCCTCGCCCTCCCGTCGAGCTACTCGACGCCATTTTAAATTTTACCCAAGAATCCCCCAGCAGACAGCATGACATCTGACCTTTTGGCGGGAAATTTGGACACCGCTTTTGGGCCCTTTTGGAGCGATGCAAAAAAATTCTTTTGATGCAATTTTATTCCGCAAGATAAATTTGTCTGAATGTTACGCCCATTTCTCCTTCGAATATTTGTGTATAAGTGGATGTATGTGGGATGGGTTTAGGTCGTGAAAACTGAGCTTGGAAGAGCCTTGCGTCCGCTATTAAACAGTGGTAACGTTACTTATAGACTCTTTGTATCCAGGTATCAATCTCGCAAAACAAGTCCGTTCGTCAAGTAAACGTAAAATACTTGAAAACAAAGCAAAAGAAAAAGTACGACAAACACACACCAGGATATTATTATTAGAGTTTACATGAAAAGTATTGATTATTTGTAGTTATCTATTCTACCGCACGATGGCGCTAGTGTTTGTCGTGCCGACGGATCTCGAGCTTTGAGTTTGACAGCTAAATAAGTGTGTCGTGACAAATAAATAAATGTAACGTTATGTATCCGCAAGATTCACTGTTTCTCATTCTCATAAGCACAAAACATATACGACGTTGCTGTTGAATATCAGCACTGAAGTAAACCACGTGCACTTTTATCGTCCGTGTGACAACAGAAGGATCCAGAAGCAGTATAACATGTAAGTTACTAACGTTATGTCCATGCTCCCTTTCACCTGAATGTAACGGTTAACCTTACGTAACTTTGTGCTGTAATTTTTATTATATGATTAGTGGTGATGTGAATATAAGCATATTGTTTGAATGCGTCACCACTATGTATTGTCAATTTTTATTTTTCTATTTTTTGCACGTTGAAATAAAAAAACAACTTATGTAACGTTAACGTTAACGTTATGCGTTAAATGTAACGTTAAAGATCGAAGAATGCAACCACCAAGGCTTACAGAAATACACTATTATTATACAGGGACGGTGTTGGTAGGTTGGTACTTGATATTGATTTAAGCCTTAGGGGCTGTCCTCGGACAAAACATCAATTTGTAAAACATTGACCGAGATTCAGAATGAAATCGTCTCAATGGCATCACTTGCGTCATGATACGTGACCCTTATAAGTGCCTCAGACCTTCTTGTTTGTCGCAATGCCGTTCTCCATCTCGTTTGTGGTACAGCTGTGCTCTCCTATATGGAAGCTCCACCGCATCCAATGAATGATGTATGAAAACAAAACTCTCTTTAAAACAACAACTCAACAGTCGTTTGCGACTTGTCACCACAGCTTGTGTTTAAATCACATATCATCCTGAACGAAATGGTAAAACCAAATGCTTTATGTCCACATGTTGACGGTATACGTTTTTTCTTCAGTGGTGAAGTGACTTATATAATTTGTGCAGAAAATAATAACGTTAATACGATGCGGCGGCGGGCCCAAACAGGGGCAAGGACTCATTATGTTTCACGTCATGTGACATCTGTGGGGCAATATTTTACGCGTATGAAATTCCGACAGCATTCTCATTATCGTGCTCAACGTGGGACGTCAATGTCCTGCTTGCTGTCGTGATTATTACAAAATTGGCCTCGAATTTTCTCCTGTTTGTGAATTTTCCCGCCTGGCCGTCCTCAGTACAACAAGTGCACCTGCCAGGCGTATCACCTGCGAACTTGATTTTGCCGCAAAGACTATCGGGTAACAAAATGGCGGCCGAATTCTGATAGTTCATAAATCTGTGTACGACAGGTCTAACCACTTTTACATCCTTGGATTATTTTGATCACGTAACGGTCAATTCAATTCTAGTAAAGTGGAAGCTTCCCTTGCCATATTCAGCTGGTGTAAGAGGAGGTAATGGAGGAAGTAGTGTGACACAAAAGGCCGGAACTCCGGTACGGAATCGTGTTGCATGTTTGCGTGCCGAAGTTGACCTTACAGAGACGTAGACGACATTTGCAACAGGTGAGTCACGTAAGAATCTTACGCACCGTTCACTCACGTGGTAAACCTCACTAACGGGATAGAGGTTGCCACTTTACCAATGATTGCATGTCAGTGTTCGTGTGGATGTTAGCAAATGTGTGCGATAAATTTGTGCAGCTGGCGACAAACATAACGGTGCCTGGGCTGGCCGCTAGTTCCGGACAGCCCGACGATGTTTTGCCCCATATGTCATGTTTCCTTCTAGCCACAGTGTACGCATTTTCCGTTAGGACTGAGTCATTTCCATGTCAAAAAACCGCAAAGTCACACTACCGCCCATTTGCAAGATGCCACTTTGTGCTTGTAATCAAGATCACGAAATATGTGTGCTGCTGTGTAGAGAAGGGGGAGGGGCACGATGTACTCCAGGTCAGCGCAAATATAACGTGGCGTTTTTGTTTTATATATGACAGACGATGTTTTTCTATCCTAGACGAGACGGGGAACAGTAGGAGGAAATGTGACAGACCCCGTCAGTGTCTGAGTAAACAGCAGAACCACGCATTCTTGACGCAGTCATCCCGGGAAAACCCGCCGTCCTCGCGCCCACTGATTACTGCGTAATCATGGAGCAGCGGCCGACCAGACCACATCCGGTCGGCTCTCACGCCGGGGCAGACAGTAGTAACGCACTCGCACCGCCACAAGCAGCACATCAGTTCGGCAGTAGCCACGGCTCAAGATCAAGCTATTTTCAGGTATGAACATTAATATAGATCTTTACCGTATATGTAGTCTCAACTACCACAATTTGTGCCTTTGAGTTACATTCATGTCATGTCACAGCTGGTACATTGGTTCCAATGTCCTTGGTACATCATACATGGTCAATGGGACTTAAAATAACGCTATGTAGCATAGGGGTGTATGGGGTATTAGGTAGGGACAATATGTAGCATACATCTGATAAAGGATGCGAAAGGTTAACTTTCTTGATGTTATCAAAATCTGGATGTTCAGAATGGTTTGTATATTCACATTTCAATAAAACATAATTTGTTGTTAGTCATTTACTGTTATAACATTACATATACCATGGAGGTAAAAAAGATATATACTGCTATTGCATTAAAATCAAGTTCTACTTTTAAATTATTGAATTCACGTGTCAAAATCTGTACCTACTTTTCATTTGGTCACGTAAGACAATCCTATACCAGTATTAAATTGGATGCGAAAAATATGGACAAGTGAATGCTTGGTGATTGATTGTATGTTCTGGGTACAAGTATTTTGCACCCCTGATTTCCATAACAATAATTTTCACAACTTGTTGTTAATATGATCAGGTGTAAAACTGTATATACAATGTAATCTTTTTATAGTTATGATGGTCTCAGGTGCTAGATATGTCACACCTGATATAGACCATCCCTAATCAGGACATTTTACTGTGAAGTTACACATTGTCATGCAAATTACAGTATAAACGATGATGTCATGTTCCTTGGTGTTGATACATTGATGCAAAACAGCCAGAGGTAACATGAGTATTTCTCTGTGCTGAAGGCAGTATTTGTCCACCTATATCTGTATATATGGAATGTGTATCCTTTCTTGTTACTGCAACTTACTGGTATGTCACTATTGTATGAATAGCCAAACAACTTTTATAATTGAAGAGATTTATAAATAAAAAAATAACACAGCAGTGGGCTAGTGGCATGTCATGAGTGAATCAGCATACTGATCAGTCTACAGGGGGTTGGTGGCTATTATGTATTGTTAATAGCAACACAATAGGCTGTGGATAGGTGTAAGGGAAACACCTGCAAGGGTAGAGTGCAGCATTGTCTTACATGTTTGTTCCTGTTGTAAGAAGTCCTTCACTGTGTCAGAATCTGAATCAGTGACTTGGAACTCACAGGTGTGGAGTGACAGTTCTGTACATAGTACAGGTAAGATAACAGCAGCAGCTGTCAATTAACTCAGTCTTGATCTCTTTGGATCTTATATTACATGTAGCCAGATCTGCAGGTGCAAGAGTATGACTGTGGCACTGTACCACAAGAATCTCTTACGATTATGAAGATGAATAAGGTGCTAACATGGAGCTAAAACATTGAGACCAAAATAGAAACACTTGGTATAGAGCCAATGTCAATGCCACTTGCCAAGAAGAGCATGCTTTACAATGTTGGCAGGATGACTAAACCATACTCCTAGCGACCAGTAATTGTGTAACATGTAGGCAAGGCCTTGAACTATACCCCACTTTATTTATTTGACTCTTAGGGTAGAACTTGACATAGAGAATAGGTGACAATTTAGAATTCATATTGACACTGTTCGTATTGCTTGATCAGTCCACCTGTAGGTAATAAAATCCTTGAGGTAGTCTGTATAGTGGGGTGTGTGAGGTAGTTATATCCACTTGTTCATGAATTGCTTTGGTTAGTGAGTCCATCTCGAAGACTGGATCACTGTTTGCCTTTGAAAATGTACCATTTTCTATAAGATGAGCCTATGTCTATTTTTAGTCCCTTGTGTTTTCAAGGAAGTAATTAGCCATGTATCCGGAGGAAACTAAAGGTGAGAAGGTTCCTGTTCTGGCTGTTGTACAGCCATCGCCACCCACACACAATGTTTTCAAAACATCTGTGTTGGTGTCTGTCAAATCTGAAAGCAGAACAAAACAAAACAGAAGAAAGCAAAACAAGGATGCACATTGTCAGTCAAATCTGAAAGCAGAAGAAAACAAACAAGGATGCTTGCTCATTTGTTCTGTTTTATGAATAAATGATGACTGTAATGGCAAAAATCTGTCATTTTATTTTAGCAGAGCAGCTCTGAGATTTATAGGAATTGTTTATTTTTAGTGTAGTAGTAGTTTATGTTTTACCAAGGAGTTTCAATAACTCCTTGGTTTTATCATGGAGGTAGAAAAAAGTGTTAAAAGAGGAGTTGATATACAGCCTTATTACATGTTTCCAAGGACATTATAGTGTCCTTGATGTTACATAATCTACCCAAGACTATTATCAAAAGAACCCTTCATGCAGCTGTTGTTGTTATTGGCAAAGTCTACTGGCATTCTCCCAAGACTGTCAGAGTATGTCCTGGAGGCTTCTCTACCTGGAGTGCTAGAGATAATGAAGCCAATGTTACAACATTAAATCAGACCCCTGTAGAAAAAGTCTTCTGGAAAGAGCAAATGTTTGACCATTACTCAACTTTGACCAGGAGAGTCATGGGTTATAGGGATATCCCTCGGCTGGAGTGGAGATTTGTATGACTCTTTAAATTAAATGTTTCCTGTTGCCAAGATGCCGAACCCTATTGTAAGTTTCTGGATGGTCCAGCAATAACCTACAAAGGATAGAAGAGTAGGCATCAGTTATTCAAAATAACAATGACCATTGGAGGATAGGTTACAGTTTTTACGGTCCCCCTAAGAACTAGTGAAATTTCCCTGACTTATCTATAAACATAACTTTATTCCATCATCATTGTCCCCACACAAATATATTAATGACCCATCCCTAATGAGGTTCCCCTGTGCCTGTGACTTGAGCCTGTGCCCAGATGGAGTTGGCTAGCTGCAGAATCAGCAGGACATAATGTGTGCCACCTTGGCCAGCGGCAGCCAGGGGTGGCTCTGAGATCTGCCAGGCATTTGGGCTCTCTTTGCTTTGGTTGTAGAGCCCTTCTTGGATGATAGCTTGGAGAAAATGGAGTCTTGCATTGCAGAGTTAGACAAGGTCATTTCAGTAAGTATAAAATTTTGATAGATTTGATTTTCCTTTATCTATGGAGATTCTAATAGTAGCCGATTGCTTGGGAAATCTAGCACAGGCCATTCTGTTCTCTTCAGGGGGTACAATGGATGTTTTCTTTCCAGAGTGATGTGTTTAGGGATGTCAAGTTTTGTGGTGGGCCCAGAGGGTTCAGGCTGGCGTACAGCACAATGGGAGTTATAATTTGCCAGTGCTATGCCTCTTAGGTCTCATTTTGGATGGAAATCCTGTCACTACAAGGATCCCTAAATCTTCAGTACCAGTATGTGTTTTCAGCTCATTGAAAAAGTCAGAAAAGATTACTGCAAAGGCCTGTTGGCAATTTGTCTGACTGTAGCTAAATCAATTTTTTCTACTCTGTCTCCCATAACAAAGAATGTGGTGTTTGTTTTGGCCAATATAACAGCTCACAGAGTGGTGTTGTTTCCTTCCTCTTGGTCTTTTTCAGCTGTTCCTTACTGTTCTTCCGTCGTTCTGGTTTATTTTGATTTTCTGCCCTTTTACAAAACCGACAGAGGATCAGAGTCAATACTATCACTGTTGTACAACAGAAGTGACCAGGAAGTCCCCAGGGCCAATCTAATAGCACAGTGAATACCTAGAACATGAGGAAAGCCATATTATATGGCTGTTTGGCTGTCTAGTAGTTCACCCTGCAATATTGGGTGGTAAGTTTGATTTTTCAGTGGAATACCCACAAGGCACCGGCACTGGCACTTGCACTGGCAGCAGAATTTCTTGACAACTGGACAGGTAGTTATGTTGGGTTCTGTCTGTTCCTGTTCTAAACAGTTTACCATTGACGAAGATGTGAATAATATATGATGATGAATTTTTGATTACCAGATGCTGAGTGGCATAGCCAGTGACCTGGACATCATGCTGCAGGACCTGTGCAGTACCTACCCGTTCCCTGCCGGCCAGGGACACACAGACATGGCATCACCACACGCCCCCTCCCCTGCCGGCCAGGGCAACATTACCCACCAAAACTGGTATGTACATGTCATGAATTTTTACAAGTAGTAATACTATATCTCTGTGATGTTTCAAATGTCTGGGTGAGTGGGCTGTGTTCCCATCTGACAGACAGTGCTGTAGGTCATGAATTAGTTGAGGATTAACAGATTTCTACTGAAACTTATTAGGGCCACCTGCTCCAGATAAATCACAATATAACACAAGTTGCTGAGAGAAGAAGAAAAGGTTTGGACTTATAGATAAGTGTTGTCACAGTTGACAGCTCACCTGGCTCTGATTATAATTTAAAGCTGAGGTCCAGTTGATGGAAACAAGGAATTAACTCGCAAGTATCTAAGGTATGTTTTACATTAATCTGCTTAGCTGTAGTTCAAATGTCCTTGATAATAGATTTTGTAATTATAGAAGCTATTATGAAAACACTTTTTTTTATCTTTTGCCCTTTCAACTTTTTGATTATGACTTAAAAGCTTCTGATCATCATGTTCCAAAGGAAACTGTCCCTTTTCCTGATCAAACAAAGGGACATGTGCAGAAATAACTTTTTTGCCACATTGTGTTTTTGTTTTCTTTATCCTACTTCTGATCTGGGTAGATTTCAGCTGGATTCAGGTCAAGATGCCCAGATTTGTTGCAAGTCTGTCTTCACAAATAGCATCAGATCCTCTGGGCATATCCAGTTTCAGTTTTCCATATGTTTTGACTGATCAGCCCCCAGGTCTAAAGCCCTTCTCAGCATTCACCTAGTGTATCAGGGAGTTCAGGAGAAGTGTGTGCATGTTCACCTCCTTGGCAGTAAGGCTGGATTAACTCCTGCCTTCTGTACTTGTCCTGCATGCCTTGGTGTGATAGGTGAATGTGATCCAGCCAAAAATTCCACCCTATCTGAAAATTCCTGGCATTTCCTGTGTCTGTAGGAAAGAAGAAGGAAGTCCCAGCCGCCCTGGTGGGACCGGTGGGAGTCCAGAGCAGGACAAGGGTGAGTAATGGACGCCTCTGTAAATATTTAGAAAAGATGGGAGATAGGGAGTTGTACTGAAGAACATTTCCAGGTGACTTGAGCTGTGTGTGTTGTGGTAGTTGCTGATACAAGTATTTAGACATGGTGGATTGGTGAAGGAGGTGGCTGGCATGTGTTAGGCGACATGGAAATCTTGGCAACCTTTCTGCACATGCCAGGAGCACAACAGCTTCATCAGCCTGAAATCAGATCTACCTTACTCATTAGGATCCTTTTTGAAAGTTTAACATGTTGTCAAAGATTGAGGAGTGTCTGAGCTTCAGTTTCAAGAAAGTGGGAGGAAGGAGATGGTGGGAGGAAAGTTGAGTCCTTGGAAGCTGACAATAGGAAACACAGCCAGCCTGAGCCACCTTCAGTTAGAATTGATACAATGCAGCTTGCTATGATTTATGTTTCAGCAAAATTACAGCAAAAAAAATGTCAGGTGATTAGAAACAAAACCTTAGTGCCTGAAGCTGTTACATTCCTCCCAATACTTTTGAGGTAAAACCCCTGGCAGGCTAGGAAAGCCAGGAGTCCCAGGTAGAAGCCCTTTTTGGT